GTGAGGGGGGAATGCATTTACGCACCATACCATAGCCCGAGCTACGGCGTGTGTGGGACTCCAGGGTCTTGAGGAGATCACCTAATACCCACTAAACCCTAAACCTCCGCGTGGCCTGACTCATCAGCGTCTCGGTAGGCCGTGTGTTGTGCGTGACCTGCGGTCTGCTACAACGTCTCCTCATGTGTTTCAGTCTCTGGGAACGCCGGGTTGGTTCCCTTTACTTCGCACATTCTATCGATGTCGTTAAGCGATCATCGATAGAGGGTCTGCTGGTTCTCTTGAAAGTCTTGTTTTCGAAAAATCAAGAGTTTCAAGTCCTCTTACCAATATGTTGTTCCTGGTCCTGGTCCTGGTGGGTCCTGGTCGTGGCGGGTGGTCCTGGTCCTGGTTGGTCCTGGTCCCGGCGGTTCCTGATCCTCTGAATCCACGCCGTGGGGGGGGGGGGGAGCAACCGCGAGTTCTCCTAGTCTCCTAGTCAAGGTTCCAGTTAGCGGGTGCCAACTGGGACCTTGGTCTGGGGTACCTGGTTCTGTGGTTGCGAGGCCTCTCGTCCGGATCGTAGTCCATGAGGAATCGTAGCTGCTCGTTCGGGTGGTCCTGAGCTTTCTCGAAGGTCTTCTCCGCTTTTTTCCTCATGTACTCGTGGATGGTGTCCCAATGCAGGTCTCTACGCAAGGTTGAGTTTCTTACGTAGGATGGTGCACTGGTGGCGATCCGGAGTAGCTTCATCTCTAGAGCAGCAAGTCGCTTGCGGTAGCTGGGGGCAGCGTACCCCCAGACCGCGGAGGCGTAAGCGAGCTGAGGTCTGGCGATGGCCTTGATCAGCCGTAGCTTGGTCGCTAGCGGCATCCGGCTGTGTCTACCCAGTAATGGGTAGAGTTGAGCCATGGCTGCTCTGGTCTTTGCGATGACAGCTTCTATGTGGGCTTTCCAGGTGAGGGACTTGTCAAATACGATCCCCAGATATTTGACTTTGTCGCTCCACTGGATATCTTCGTCGAAGATGGATGCTTCGAGAGGTCTTGCAATCCTTCTTCGTTGAATGAAGATTGCCTGCGCCTTCTGAACGTTGATGCGGATTTTCCATTTCACGCACCAGTCCTGGATGTGGTCCAGTTCATCCTGTAGTCTCCTACGGATGATCTCGGGTCGTCTATGCTTGGCGGCTATAGCAGTATCGTCTGCGTATAGGGCCAGCATTGTGTCAGCTGTCTTCGGCACATCGTGAGTATAGATCTTGTAGAGCAGGGGGGCTAAGGCTGAACCCTGAGGCACGCCTGCTTCCAGCTGTCGTCTTGTTGAATGGCATGTACCAATCTTCACCGTGAACCATCTTTGTGTTAGATGGATCAGTTGGCACATGTTCGCATCGATTCCGGCGGCTTCCATTTTGGCGATGAGTCCATCGTGCCAAACTCGATCGAAGGCTCGTTCCACGTCCAGCAGGACGAGACCGGTTGCCTCCTGGAGATTGAAGCCGCTGGTGATGTTTTCCGTCAGTCGTAGCGCTTGGAGTTCCGTGTTGTGGGAGGATCTGAAGCCGAATTGCTCTGGGGGGAGAAGTTGCAGTTCTTCTGCCTGCTTCTCTAGTCGAACGGCGATAGCCTTTTCGACTACTTTGCCCATCGAGGAAACCAGGCTGATGGGCCGGTAGTTCTGGGGCAACTTCCGGTCCTTGCCTGGCTTGGTGAGCATTATAACCTGGGCTTCCCGCCACCGCCGCGGGAAGTGGTTAAGTCTCAGAGTGGCATTGGCGATGTTGGTGAGCGCAGCAATGCCTTTGGTGGGAAGGTTCTTCAGCATCCTATTGTTGATGCCGTTCCTTCCCGGCGCCTTTCTGACCTTCAACCTGCGGATGATCAGACGGATTTCCTCTGGACTGGACGGGTGATCCGTCTCCTGGCCAGGTGGTCGACTCCTCATGATTTCGGCTGCGACTTCCACGGCCTCCTCGTGGTTGTCGTCCTCGTCTTCGTGGTAATTGAGTCTGCATTCGGATTCTAGCGAATCGGCGAATGCTTCGGCTTTTTCTTCACTGGAGTATTCCAAGCCGCGTTGGCCGTGAAGAGTGGGGATCGTGGTGCGCTGACGACGGAATTTTCGCTGCATAGTCCAGGCCGTACCATCCTGGGTCTCTAGTTCTGCACAGGCTGCATTCCATCTGCTGTTTTGGAGTTCCGCGAGTGCGTTCGTCAGAGCTAGCGATGCTCTGTTTCGCGCAACTCTCGACTCCTCTGTCAACAGTTGGAGATGTTCTCGCTTGAGTCTTCTGTTCTCCCTGATCAGGTGCCTAATATGGTGCGGTGCTGGACCATTTAGGTGTCTAGGAACTGCCGTAGTCTCGGAGCGGGTGCTGTCCTCGTGCGCTCGCAGGACAGCATTCTCCAGCTCCTCTACTGCGTTGTCCAATTCCTCCGCTGATCGGATGATTGGAATTTGAGTGATGCTCCTTTGGACGTTGGATTTGTACAGGTTCCAGTTCGTCCGTTTGGTGCTCAAGCTATCTCGAGTTCTAGACCCTGTGCCAAGTGTTAGTAGAATCGGATTGTGGTCCGACGATCCTTCCACCAGGGTCTCTATCTCGAACTCCTCTCTGATGTTGCGGAGGATGGCTATGTCCAGTACCGCAGGTCGCCCAAGGCCGAATGGAATGTAGGTTGGTTGCTCCGGACCGACGATGACCCCCGCCAGGGCATCGACGTGTTCCTGGAGCTGCCTTGCATTCCTGTCTTCGACGTTGTTGTTCCATGCCGGAGACTTGCAGTTTAGATCTCCGATGACTATGCGTGCTCCTGGGCCTCTCAGGAGGTCAGCGATGTCATCTTCGTCTAGGGCCTCCCCTGGTGGCACATATAGGGAGGTGAATCTGTAGGGACGGTGGTTGTGATGGACCTGGACCGTGATTCCGTCCCCATTGATATCTGCGGCATCGTCGAGGACATGACTCGTCAAGGTACGTTTGACGAGTAATGCGACTCCTCCACCTCTGCCCCTTCTGTCGTAGCGGTACGTCTCGTACCGCGGGAACGTCAGACTATGGGCAGCATCCAATTTCGTTTCTTGGATGGCCATCACCTCTGGTTGGTACTGGTCTAGTATCTCCTGGATTTCTGGCTTCCGTGCCCTGAATCCGTTGATGTTCCAGGAGATAATGCGTAGAGATTCTACGTTTTGCCCTGTAGTCATTTCGGGTCTACTGCTTGTCTTGCATCTTGGCCTCGAGTGCATCCAGGCGGGTTATGATGGCTTGCATCATTGCCAGCAGTCTGTCATCGCCGTGTTGCTTCTGCGCAGTAGTTCCAGTAGCAGTGGCGGCTGCTGGGGCAGAAGTGGACATAGGTTTCTTCGCTTTTTGAGCGTAAGAGGTCCTATTTGTGGTGGGGGCTGCTTTGGGGGCAGAAGCAGCTTTCTTCGGGGCCTTACTACATCCCTTGTAGTTGGCGGGGTGGCCTTCTCCACAAAGGCAACACTTGGCGTTTTGTTGTCCTGTTGGCGGCGCTGGAAGACTGCAGCTGGTGCTGCTGTGGTCCTCTCCACACTTAACGCACCGTTCAGCGAGACGGCAGTTCCGCTGTGTGTGCCCGTACCGCTGGCAGCGGTAACATTGGCTGGGCTCGGAAGACTTTTTCTTCCTCTCGAAGCTGACCGTGAGTATGGCCAGCCTCTGGATCTCTGCAAGCTTTTCCGGCATCTTCGTCTTGACGATGAAGACCGGAAGTGGCTTCTTGGTGGCCCTTGAGGTCATCTGCTGAACCTCGGCGTCTGCGATGCCTTGGCTCACTAGATCCTCTTTGATGTCATTGACTGACATCTCTCTGGGTAGCCCACGAATGACCCTCTGGTCCATCCTGTCCTCCTTCAGTTGATAGGTGAAGAAGGGCCGCTTGATGGATTCCAGCAGTGCGACTAGCTGACGGTAGTCAGCTGATGTATTTGTGAATACCGCCACACTGTTACCCGCCGTCCTCGCCTTAGAGAATTGAATCCCCTTGCTGTTCATCATCCTGCTTAAGGATGACCAATCAGCGGTGCCCTCGATATTGATTGGCGGAACTCCTGTTCCTGCCATGGGGGTCTCGGTGGTCCTGGTTGCTCTAGGACCTCTCTTCTTGGTGGCAGCTGGCATCTTTGGCTGCCTGGGTTCTTCTTCTTCGGAGGAGGAGGAAACTCTCACTCGTTTTCTCCTCCTGGTGACGACACTGAAGTCTGCGTCATCGGTCCTCTTCTCGGCTTCTTCTTCTTCGATATCCTGGGCATCCATGTCCCTGTTCTCCGTAGGCTGCTGGTCCTCGTCTCCCTGGTCCTCACCTTCTTCTTCTTCTTCCGTCTTCTTCGCCTTCCTCTTCGCTTTGAGGAGCTTCCTTTTTACTTCATCTATCTCATTCCTCGCCTGCTCGAATGCTTCTTGCAGATTTTTCATCTGCTCAGCAAGCATTGCGAAGTTCTCCTCCTTCTGCTTCAGCTGGCTCGCCAGCTTTTCTATTCTCGCCATCGTGGATGGCGATCGTACCGTGATGAAAATCACAATAGGATCGCACTGTAAGTCCGGGTTGGTCGCAGTCGCACAAGTGTATACTCGCGACGGCTGCTAGCTCGGAACTGGGGGGGACAGTAGGATAGGAAACCGGCATTTCAGTTGGTCGAAACAGCGTTCAATTATAATTCTTTCTTGTCTTAAAAGCTTATTATAATTTATTTCTGCACCTGGGGCAGGATTTCTGAAGGGAGTCATAAGGCATGTCTTTTACTTATGTCACTGCTTTGAAGGATATGCTTATACTCAAAAAGCAAAAGCATTTACTTCAAATTATTATAAATACCATCTGGAGGATTTCCTTCAAAATTTGCAAGTACAAGGATATCCTTTGTTTTATGAATACGGCTCAATGCCTCTTTCTGTTTATTCTTCGCAAGAAATCCGTCTTATTATTTTTCAATGTAATTTCCGTATTGCTTATATCACAACTTTTCTGACTAATCTACCGTGCGATTTTTAGATATCAATGGCAGTCTGTTCAATACTCTACCAGCTTGCAACAAGGCAAGAACAACAAGAAAAGTTGCACGAAGAATTGAAACAGGTCCTGCCAGACCCGAACGAACCGCTGACTGCTAAAAAGTTGGACGAAATGGTCTTTCTAAAAGCGTTTGTCAAGGAGGTTTTCAGGTGAGATCAACGAAAATCATAGTAAACATGTGAAAATAGCTTCGTAAGCTCAAATATCTGGAATGCCGTACCTTCATGTTTTTGAACCGCTCATTACATTGAGATTTTTGTTAATTTCAGGATGTATTCAACGGTGATAGGGAATGGTAGGACCTTACAAGAAGATACCATACTATTAGGATATAAAGTTCCCAAAGGCGTAAGTGCCAACATTTTTTTTTAACAATGGCACTGAGATATAACCCATCAACCAGAAACCAGTTATACAGGGTGTTTCAGTTTATTGTTGCATAACTTTAAGATTCGATAGAACTTTTAAAATTAATGCATAAAGTCTATATAAACATGGGTCGAAAAATGCGTGGCTTCCGAAATATAGGGTGTTTAAATTTACTTTCTAAAATAGTTTTTTTTAAATATTTCGAGCAATATTTGATGTAAAACAGTAAAAATTGGTATACAAAGGTTTTTTGGTACGACAAAACGAACCGTGGGCATAGTTTTACTGTAGCCGCTAGAGGGCGCTGTCTACTGTACCTGTAGTGTATTAAAATGACCGAAAATTTTTTCTTAGTGCAATTTTTTGCTTTTTAAATAAAAAACTGATTCTTCGCACTTTTCAACATAAATAAGCTCTCTTGTGAATTTTTGTTATAGTTAGCCATTTTTGAGATATTTCGATTTTTAAGGTTCGATCCTTTTTTATTTATTTATGATAAAATAACGTTAAAAAGTCAGTATCTCGATAATTTTTAGAAGTAGGCTGTGCCTGCAAATATTTTTGAAATTGAAAGCAGAATAAGGTTAAACGTCAATTAGTTGACAGTTAGTTTTGTTGTCTGTTGAAACCTGAAACGTTTTTTTGCAATTGTGAATGCACGAAATTTAGTTTCTTTTACCTGTCTTTTTTTGTGAGTTTTATAAAAATGCCATTTTTATTCTCCAATCAAGAGTTAGCGGATATTCATTTTGTGTATTTCTTTGTAAATGGAAACGCAGCAGAAGCAGCCAGAGAATACGCACGAAGATTTCCAAACAGACGTCATCCAACTCGCTCAGTATTTGTAAGAGTGCATCGCCAAATAATTGAAATTGGTTTTGGAAATCTCCAAAGGGATCAAAACATAAATGTTCGTCAGCGCAGATTTACCCGTATGATTCTGCGTGAGTTTGATAGAGATCCGACCACAAGTGTTAGGAGAGTTTCTGGTGCCTTGAGAATTTCAGCAAGCCATGTTCACCGTGTTCTTAGAAATGACCATAGACGTCCTTACCATTTGCAACCTGTGCAAGGACTACAGCCAGGGGACGGAGAACGAAGAATCACATTTTGTCAGTGGATTCTTGATAGAACTGATAATAATAGGGAGTTTTTAAGTAACGGCGTACGGCCTTCTCGAAGCCATGCCTGACAACACCTAACCACAGTGTCTACACTTCTTTGCACTCTAACTGCAATTGCCCGAAAAGAAAGTCCAGCTTCCCGAAGTTCCACTATACGGCCCCTATCAAACTCACTAAGTTGACGAAATCGTACAGGTCTCCGTACTCTAGGCATCGTAACCGATCGTAAAGGATGTCAAGAACCAAAATCCGCCAACGTCGATTCTTTACTGCGGCTGAAATATTCATTTTTAGAGCGTTAGTGAATTAAAAAAAAAGCAGTATAAAAACCGGAATGTCCAACTGATAAGGCTGAAAATTTTTTCACTTGTTATTTACAGTAAGATAAATACATTCACCAACTTTTATTAAAATAAAACCATTTAAACTGGGTGTTCGGATTTATATGTCACTTAGTATATTTTGATAATTGATAAGTACCATTCATTGGCATTTTGTACGTAATCAAATGTTCCAATATTTAATTTAAAAAGTATTTATTTTGATAAAAAACATGTAAATTGAATAGCATCTCGTCTGACGTTGGATTTTTCAACTATTGATCTAGTTCTACGTTGCTCATTGGTAACATTATAATTGTGAAATTTTTCAACAAAACCAGTTCAGTAGCGCCTGAGATATGCAATATTAAAGATTCGGCTTGTTTAGATATATCCATGAAAACTGGATATGGAATTGTTTTATTTTCCATACTACCTATCGTTTCACGATGTTGGGGCTGGGTTTCTATGGTCCCCACTGGTAGCTTAATGTGCGATAGGCTTAAAATACCTAGTCCCAATAAAAATACGCTTAAGGATCACCCAAACCAGCGCGAATTATTCGCTGCGTATTCTCAATTTTTCATGGCGGATTATGGATGAAGCCTCACACCAAAGCGAATATAATCGCACCACTTACCTTGTATTTTCAGTATCGAAAAGGTTGTATGCTGGTGAAAAAATATAGTATTTTTGCTGCTCTAAATGTTTACATAATTGGATGAAAAAGAAGCACTACTAGAACAGATCGCCGATTTTTATAGTAATTAGTAAAAAAACACACTTTGTCAATGTCGTCATCTTGCAGGTCCAAGTAGTTTTTCCAACAGTAGTTACTGGCAATATGGAAGAATACATATCCGAGGCACATAAATTTTATCCTGAAAGGTGGATAAAAGAAAAATGTGGAAATCACTATGTCCATCCATTTGCTTCGCTGCCCTATGGTTACGGCGCAAGGATGTGCCTTGGAAGAAGATTTGCTGACTTAGAAATACAAGTCCTTTTAGCTAAGGTAACATATCTCTGTTATTTGTACAGTGTGTCTCATTTCAACCTCCCGACCTAAATATCATTATAGAAAAAAAAGTTTCAATTAATGTTTGTAAGGTCGTAGGGAGGCAAAATTATTGTGATCTTGACAACGACTTCGACTTCCAAGGTCATATCAAGGCCATTCAAATAATTTCAAATAAAACCCCGTTTTCTACGTTGGATTTAAAAAGAGGGGAAAATTTTATATTTTAAAATGTTCCACAGCACAGTTGCGAGGTTTGGGCATCTCTCAGAAATAACCTTGGCCATGACCTCCAAGGGCAAGTCGAAATTTCCAAAGAAAACCCTTTATTTTCAACTCGAATTGAAAAAAGCAGGAAAGTTTACGTTCGTACTTGACCTTTTCTTCAAATAATATTTAAGCTTATAAAGTATATAAATCATGGGTCTTCTTTGTAAATGTTGACTTGACCCTGGAGGTCAAGGTCATGGTCAAGGTCATCTTGAGGTGATCCGCACAAAGCTGACAAATGTGCTGTCAAACATTTTTGCTAGTCCCTATTATTAAATTTTGATTTTCCGTTTGAAAACATCTGCTTGGCCTTCAAGATATCTCAAAGGTAGTCGTCAAGGTCATTGTCCAGGTCACCGTTATGTTGCAACTTTCGAATCACTCAAACTAATATTGTTAAAAAGCAGCACCAGTTTTCCATAACGTATAAAATTATGCGTACTGAAAGACTTGCGACTGAATACATGACTCGTTACACGTTGCATTTAAAGGTGAAAGTACGTGCATTCCAGTGGATGCACATCCACCATATCGCTTTGTAATCTTAATATCAATTATTATTGTTAGATCTTTTCTGTTTTGATCGAAATATTCTAGTCTGCTACAAATATTAAATCCGAATTCCGGGGAAAGGTATACAGGGTGTTTCAGTTTATTGTTGCATAACTTTAAGATTCGATAGAACTTTTAAAATTAATGCATAAAGTCTATATAAACATGGTTCGAAAAATGCGTAGCTTCCGAAATACAGGGTGTTTAAATTTACTTTCTAAAATAGTTTTTCTTAAATATTTCGAACAATATTTGATGTATAACAGTGAAAATTGGTATACAAGGGTTTTTTGGTAGGGTAGACCGGGGACAGTTGTACCAGGGGTCAATTGTAACATTTCAAATATGCCCTAGAGTGAGACCGCTATATAAACTTCGCTCGGATGCGCGCGTCACCAAACAACTGCGGTTCTGATTTCAGTGTGCCGGCGGCCATCGCTGAGAGCATTTGTATCTTAAGTGTATTTGTTCGTTTCCGCACGTCAGAAGTAAGTTTTTATTTTTTTTTCAAATGTTCGTAGTTCTTTTTTACTGCATAATATGCCTGATGTTTTTTCTCAATTAGATTATGGGTAGTGTTAACTACTTTCTGTAAGAGTTACACAAAAAACACAGCAGTGCATATTACAGAAAAATCCATTTTTGTTTTAAAAAGACAGTTGGGGTCAATTGTAACAAATCGTCAGGGGACGATTGTACCGCTTCAATTGACCCCTGATTTGTATTTGTTTCGAAGAGGGTTTTCTTTTTATTTTAGATGCCACGGAAAAGGATTAATAAAACGGAAAGAGCCTCACGTGATCTATCTTTATATGAATCTGCATATGATGTGGTACTGTCTGGAACGTCAATTCGAGCAGCTGCAGCCCAATTTGGTCTGTGCCATGTGTCCCTATTACGTTATAAGAAGAAAAGAGAAAACTCAGTCGATTGCATTACAAAAGTTAGTATGGGATACAAGCCCGCTAATCGTGTTTTTTCAAATGAACAAGAAAACGAAATGGTTAAATATATCAAGAAAGCAGCAGATATTTATCAAGATTTGTCGCCCAAGGATATAAGAAAATTGGCACTGCAATTAGCAACAAAATATAATTTAAAAATGCCCGAAAAATGGACTGAAAGTGGCTTAGCCGGTGAAGACTGGTTTTCTGGTTTCATGTGCAGGCATAAAGATTTATCTATAAGAACACCACAGGCAACAAGTCTCTCAAGGGCTACTAGCTTTAATCCTACCAATGTTGCCGCTTTCTTCTATAATCTGGCCAAAGTTATGGACCGTGAAAATTTTGAAGCGAAAGATATTTATAACGCCGATGAGACCGGGATTACTACAGTCCAGAAGCCAAACAGAATTGTAGCTAAAACTGGAACTAAGCAAGTTGGTGCTATCACATCGGCAGAACGTGGCACTCTGGTTACGCTGACTGTTGCCGTTAATGCGCTAGGGAACTCTATCCCAGTTATGTTTGTTTTCCCAAGATTAAGATATCAAGACCATTTTGTTCGGGATGGTCCTCAAGGTTGCGTTGGAGCCGGTAATGGGTCTGGATGGATGCAAGAAAAAGAATTCATAGTATTTTTGAAGCATTTTCAACATCATACCAATTCATCTCAATTCCATAAAGTTTTGCTACTACTAGACAACCATTCATCGCACATCACCATCGAAGCATTGGATTTCTGTAGAACGAATGGTATCGTCATGCTTTCGTTCCCTCCACATTGCTCACATAAATTGCAGCCCCTAGACCGCTGTGTATATGGGCCACTCAAGAAAGCTATAAATTCTAGTTGTGATGCGTGGATTCGAAATCATCCAGGGAAACCTATGACGATATATGATATCCCAGGGATCACTGCAACAGCTATTCCTCTGGCACTAACACAGAGTAACATTCAGGCTGGTTTTAGATGTACAGGTATTTTTCCCTTCAATAGAGATATATTTTCTGAAACAGATTTTGGTCCATCATTTGTTACTGATAGACCCTTACAGCCATCAGAAAACCAGGAACTGACTGTTAATAATGAGCAAACAGCTAACAGCAAGCCTCCTGCTGAGCTAGAAGGTGTCAATACAGGTATCCCCTGTTTAATTGATTCAGATAGTGACGAAAATATTCCGTTGTCTGCGTTTCGTTTAAAGGAAGGAAGAGCAGATGCGATCCTTATCAGGACACCTGCAAAACTTTTACAAGTTCATGACGAAGCCACTCCAACTTCGTCAGAATTCGTAAAAGTTGTATTTTCCCCAGAAAACGTTAGACCATTTTCCAAAGCTCCACCAAGAAAAGGTACAATGAAAGGAAGGAAAAAAAGAAAGTCCGCAATTTATACAGACACCCCAGAGAAAATAGAAATAGAGAAAGAAGTTGAGGAAAGAGAAAAAAAGCGAGTAAAAAGAAACTTAGGCAGTCAGGGAAATAGACCAAATAATAAAGTTCCTAGAATGAAAAAAACTGGATCGGCAGAAAGCAGTGAAGACGAAAATGAATATTTTTGCCTAGTTTGCGTCGAACCTTATGGGAATAGCAGAAAGGGCGAGAAATGGATCCAGTGCACACAGTGCAAGATGTGGTCACACGAAGAGTGTGTAGCACAAAACTTGTTCTATGTTTGTCACAATTGTGAGTCAGAGTAATTGTCTGAGTTGGGTATCTCTTAAAGAAACAAGATTGATTTTCATATTTTTTTATTTTGCGTTTACCGTTTTTAAGCTTTTATTGTTCTTAGCTTGAATAAAGAGTTCAAGTTTTTGTTTGCCGACATCCCTTTATTATTAGATATAGGTATTTGTGAATTACAAAATCCAAAATATTGTTTTAAGTTAAATATTTGTTTTTTAAAGATTTTTCTTGTGTATTTGCTCATTTATTTGTGACAATACGAATGCTCATGTTTTATGCCAAAGTATTTGTACAAATTATATATTTGCCGAGTTGGTTACTGCGGTAATGTTTAAATTTGATCAATAAAACTAGTTAAAATATATTAAATATTGATGTTACAATTGACCCCCTTAGCTGGTACAATTGACCCAGGGGCTGGGTCAATTGTACCATTTTACATTATTTTTTAAATGTTAAATAACTTCTAAACGTATTATGTTTCATGCATTACAAAAACCGCATTTTGTAGACTATTAGTTACGTTACTTTCAGCCATACCTTGCTGACTGGTAGACATTATAATTTGAGAACATGCGAACAATATAGGCAAAATGGTACAATTGTCCCCGGTCTCCCCTACGACAAAACGAACCATGGGCATAGTTTTACTGTAGCCACTAGAGGGCGCTCTCTACTGTACCTGTAGTGTATTAAAATGACCGAAAAAAATTTTTTAGTGCAATTTTTTGCTTTTTGAATAAAAAAACTGATTTTTCGCACTTTTCAACATAAAAAAGCTCTCCTGTGAGTTTTCGTTATAGTTAGCCGTTTTTGAGATATTTCGATTTTTAATGTTCGATGCATTTTTAATTATTTATGGGAAAATAATATTTTTTTTTACATTTTCGATTTGGGCATTACAAGTAATTAAGATGATCGTTTAGATTGTGTTTTTAAACACATCAATAATTCCTAACTCCAAATAAACACAAAAAAACAGAATATTAATTTGTTTAATTTTCCAATATTATTTTTAAAAAATTAAATTAATTATTTACAACTAAAATGCTATTGGATAGTTAGGACAAACATACAAAATCTAAAGTAGTTGCTCGAAATGTAAACCCAATTGTTCAATACACAATTCACATCTACGAATGATCGAATGTGGTATAGCATTATTCAAATAAGGCCTTATTTCATCACATGCATTCCTGATTCTGTCTATTAGCATATCTCTTGTAATTACGGGAGTCTGGTACACTTTTTCTTTTAGAAATCCCCACACAAAGAAATCTAATGGATTTAGGTCAGGGGATCGTGGAGGCCAGGCGACTGGTCCTCCACGGTCGATCCATTTTCTGGATAATTTTCGTCCAGCCAGTTTCTAACTATTCTTGAATAATGAGTTGGACAACCATCAAGCTGGAACCAGGCCAATCTTCTTAAATCTAACATAACATCATCCCACATATTTGCATGTTCAGCCTTTAAAAATTCCAAGAAGTTCGCAGCATTTAACCTTGCAGGCAAAGGGTAGGGTCCAAATAGTCGATTACGGTACATACCAATCCACACGTTCACACTAAAGAAAATTTCTTTCCCGAACTGCATGCGGATTTTCATGCGACCAAAACAGGTAAAAGAAACTAAATTTCGTGCATTCACAATTGCAAAAAAACGTTTCAGGTTTCAACAGACAACAAAACTAACTGTCAACTAATTGACGTTTAACCTTATTCTGCTTTCTATTTCAAAAATATTTGCAGGCACAGCCTACTTCTAAAAATTATCGAGATACTGACTTTTTAACGTTATTTTATCATAGATAATTAAAAATGCATCGAACCTTAAAAATCGAAATATCTCAAAAACGGCTAACTATAACGAAAACTCACAGGAGAGCTTTTTTATGTTGAAAAGTGCGAAGAATAATTTTTTTTATTCAAAAAGCAAAAAATTGCACTAGGAAAAATTTTTCGGTCATTTTAATACACTACAGGTCCAGTAGAGAGCGCCCTCTAGCGGCTACAGTAAAACTATGCCCATGGTTGCTTTTACCGTACCAAAAAACTCTTGTATATCAATTTTCACTGTTATACATCAAAGATTGTTCGAAATATTTAAAAAAAACTCGTTTAGAAAGTAAATTTAAACACTCTGTATTTCGGAAGCCACGCATTTTTCGACCCATGTTTATATAGACTTTATGCATTAATTTTAAAAGTTCTATCGAATCTTAAAGTTATGCAACAATAAACTGAAACACCCTGTATATTGTTATTATAGTAGCTCCTGATGTCAATCTATGAATTCAAGTATTTGAATTAAGAAAAATATTCAACCTTTTGAAATTGGGTCTTTACACAACTCAGTCTTTTGGATACAAAAACAGTAGCCTTAAACTGTAAACAATGGTTAGAGCTAGAACGAGATATAGAATATAATACCAATTAAGAGTAGAATTCTATTAGAAAAGAAATATATTAAAATATCTTTAACAGATTTTCAGGTCTTATAAGTTGGAGTTCAACCACAAACCTCTGGATTACAAAGTTACCTTCATGTACGCACCTGATGGCGAACTTACCTTCAAGATGATAGATAGATAAACATTTTACATGATTCTGTAAATAAAATTTGTTATTTTTGTATCTCGTCTTTTTACTTTTATATGCCAGGTACCCCAACTTTTCATAGCTTGTGAAAAATCTATTTACCTCCTTTCATATGAAGTTTTGAATAGACGACATACTTTATTGCTTCAGGGACTTTATGACTGTCTAGCCGCTAAATAAAACCACATATATTTGAATTACTATCTACGAAAGTTTCGGCCACCACAGTGTCCTGTTTGAAAGTACAACTGGTGACAGAAACTTTAACGCTATACTTCTATACACTTCTTTTTACCTAATGTCCTTGAATATGACGCTAAAGTTTAGTTGATTCACGTAGTTCTTTGACCCAGTCGCCACCGGAACACAGTTGAAAATAATGTGATGCCAGCAGTTACCAGGTAAAACGTACTACTAACTCGAAGAAGTATCAATCATTATTTGTAGTCTATTGGTCACAAAATCCAGATGCTTTATGTAAAGGCCCAACTTGGGGTCATACCACACAGAACAGTTCAATTAAATGTACTGCCGGCAAACTCCAAGTGAATCCCAGTACTAGCTGTCATGTTTGAAAATACAACTGGTGACAGAAACTTCAACGCTATACTTCTATACACTTCTTTTTGCCCAATGTCCTTGAATATGACGCTAAAGTTTAGTTGATTCAAGTAGTTCTTTGACCCAGTCGCCACCGGAACACAGTTGAAAATAATGTGATGCCAGCAGTTACCAGGTAAAACGTACTACTAACTCGAAGAAGTATCAATCATTACTTGTAGTCTATTGGTCATAAAATCCAGATGCTGTATGTAAAGGCTCCACTTGGGGTCATACCACACAGAACAGTTCAATTAAATGTACTGCCGGCAAACTCCAAGTGAATCCCATTACTAGCTGTCATGTTTGAAAATACAACTGGTGACAGAAACTTCAACGCTTTACTTCTATACACTTCTTTTTGCCCAATGTCCTTGAATATGACACTAAAGTTTAGTTGATTCAAGTAGTTCTTTGACCCAGTCGCCACCGGAACACAGTTGAAAATAGTGTGATGCCAGCAGTTACCAGGTAAAACGTACTACTAACTCAAAGAAGTATCAATCATTATTTGTAATCTATTGTTCATAAAATCCAGATGCTACATGTAAAGGCTCCACTTGGGGTCATACCACACAGAACAGTTCAATTAAATGTACTGCCGGCAAACTCCAAGTGAATCCCAGTACTATACTATAACTATCTAAAACTGTAATGACTCATCGATGTTCACGTGAACATCACTTAACTACCAGTAGTCGGCTGTTCATAGGCGGGGTATGAATGTTTAACATGGGTGAACTAGATTTGTTACATGCTTAATAAAGAGTGGTTTGAAACATATTGTAAGTCAAAAATTTGGGAATTACCTTTATTCATCGTCGCTTCCACTTACATCTGATAGTAATAAACTGTCGCTATCGCTTTCCTCGTTGAAATTGACTATAACTGGCACTATGATGGTGTCGATGTGATGGTCAAGCTGCCACATTTTTGTTTCTTCCTTCACAACATGACGGATAGCATTCTGCCAAGCTTCGGGCGTTACTAGCTGTATGGAAGTCTCAAGTAAAACCTTAACGTCTGGTAATTTGAAGGTTGTGTTATGGCGCGCAATATAACCCTTCACTTGAGCCCAGATGAGCTCTATTGGGTTCAGTTCACAGTGGTAGGGCGGTAACCGCAGCACAGTGACACCACATTGACGGGCCATCTCATCAGTCACGTGCTGTTTAATTTTTTCATACAATTCCGCTTTCACACATGAATCGTAAAACGGGATTCCTTTTTCGCGCAACCATTGCTGCATGTCACTTTTTCGAGATCCCATAGTCGGTACACGTTCGGCTCGACGACTATGGTAGGAAGCATTATCCATGACGATCACAGAGTTGGGCTCAACTAGCTGAAGCACCCCTTGAAACCAGCTCTCGAAGCAGCTGGCATTCATTTCGTCATGGTAATCACCTCCTTTCTTAGAGACGAAAATCAAGTCACACTCTTCTAAAAAGCCACTATCGCTACCAATATGAGTTACGACCAATCTTTGACCTTTCCCTGACGGTCCACGAAGACCTGTTGACAAACCTTCAATGCTTGCTTGTCGGTTACTCACTACGTTTTTGTCTATCCAGGTTTTTTTAACTGTGTGTCCTGCATTTACCCCTGTCTCGTTCAAATAATAGATTTTTCTGCTTTGTCGCCTATATTCAATCATTTCGCGTAGGTATTTTCGACGCCAGGCGACTATTTCAGGTCTCTCTATCAATACTGACTTCCGATTACGCATTTCGTAACGAAAATTAATTTCGTGCAGGGATTTCCTCATTATAGTACCTCGACGCTCATTTGAGGTATAATTTCATTTTCCTTGATCGCTGCATGTACAGCCTTGAGGGTTGGTATCTCATTCCTAAAGAAGAATGAATGTACGGTTCGCCTTAACGCCATTTTGCTATCGTCATCCAATTTAACGGCCTTTCGTCCCTTCAAATTAAACTTTGGATCAGTAGTAGCTCCAGTTTTCTTCTTTTCATGCACCAGCCTGCGAATGGTCCACTCTGGAACGCCTGTCATACTTTCACAACGCGCGAGTGCATCTCCCTGAGACATAGTTCTGTTCAGATAATTGAACACGTTGAGCACGATTTCTTTCGCGTCCCTCTTCAGTGTTTTACGAAGCCGTCTACTTGTTGCCTGGCTTTCAGTACTTCCACTCGTGCCATTTGTACTCTCCATGGTTAAGTATAACCAAAACAGTAACCACAGAAACCACAACAATAACAATCACACAACAATTCTTATAAAAACACACAATATGCGATCGCTCAACGAAACACGTTCCAATGCGTTGCCGACGCCTATGAGTCTTCCGGTCGAAGCGCGTCTTTGATTTCATTGGTTCTACCGGTTCTAGCCATTATTTCCATCTCTGTCTGTGCTGTTGACCACCGCAAAGCCACAGAAACGACATATGTCGTACGCTATACGGCTGTATTGGAAGGAAGCCGGGATCGAGCTCTGATCACGTGTTAATCACGCGTATGAGTCATTACAGTTTTAAATAGTTGTAGTATAGCTGTCATGTTTGAAAATACAACTGGTGACAGAAACTTCAACGCTATACTTCTATACACTTCTTTTTGCCCAATGTCCTTGAATGTGACGCTAAAGTTTAGTTGATTCAAGTAGTTATTTGACCCAGTCGCCACCGGAACACAGTTTAAAATAATGTGATGCCAGCAGTTACCAGGTAAAACGTACTACTAACTCGAAGAAGTATCAATCATTACTTGTAGTCTATTGGTCATAAAATCCAGATGCTGTATGTAAAGGCTCCACTTGGGGTCATACCACACAGAACAGTTCAATTAAATGTACTGCCGGCAAACTCCAAGTGAAACCCAGTACTAGCTTCATATTGCTTCTGCTCCGATTATTTATCCAAGACTTTGGAATGGAGGCAGTTCTTTTCAGGCAGAACAATATTTTAAAGAAATGTGCTACTAGTGGTGTAAATCAAACTACCACTGTAAATTTCTAAAGGAGCCTGAAGTTGCAAGGCCTGGCAACTAGGCTAGTTTAAACCCTCTTCCTGTAGTACCAACATTGTATTACTTCACGTATCTGCTGGTAGCTGATCATTGAGTCAACCAGCTCCTGCAACGCGATGCACCTATGTTGATCTTGTACCGATCTGATGAGCTGTATACATGGTGTCCCGAAAAAAGTGTGCGATATTCTACCAGCGGTGTCTAGAGCTTAAAATAGGAAGAAAAGTTTTTATAAACATAGTTCGACAAACGTCCCCTAAGAGAGCTACGGTCTTCTAAAGGGGCTCCCCTGAAGATGGTTTTTCCTTAATATTTCCGAAACGTGTTGAGATAAAGACATAAAATTTGGTATTCTAGCCTAGTTTTTTAAGCTGGATTTGAAAATATTAACAATTTTAGACAGTTTCGTTTGGAAGCGTAGGTAACAGGGACGGACTCAGGTTATTTTAGTCCCAAAATTTTTGTGTGATTCTATTATTGAAATTCAATTTTAGAATTATAAAATTTAGGGTTTTCTACATAAAAAGGTACTCGTATTGAATATCGAAAAATTGTGCCATTTTTGAATAAAATCAAACTAAAAAATTTGTCACATGAATGTACTGCGAATTTAAATGAATTGTTGATTATACATAGTTAGCCATGACTGCAAACAAAAAATTTGTTATGACTTACTTTGACGTTAAGCTGATATTGTTAGCAGTGTAAAATTACTAGATTAATATCAAAATTTTTATTAAATCGATTTAAAATGGCAAGATTTACATACAGAGAACTGACTGACATGAATTTTGGGTACGGGTTTTGCGATGGCAGTTTATTGGCAGCCGTAAGAGAATATCAAAGAAGATATCCCAATCGCATAGTACCTGGACGTCGAATGCTTACTGATATTCACCGGAATTTGTCAAACCATGGAAGTTTTCAGCGCATGCAGGGCTCAGGAAGGCCACTGGGAAATCGTCGTATGGATATTGCTTTAAATATGTTTGAAAATAATCCGCAAATAAACATACGAAATGTTTCAGATATTATGGATATACCTCGATTAATAGTAAGAAAAATTTATAAATACCTATTTGATAGTTATCCTAAAAATAATAATTTTAGATAGGAAGAATGACAAGAATGCAAGGATTACATCCTTATCATTTTAAACGGGTGCATTTAACTGAGGCAAATTTTTTACCACGAATCGAATTTAGCCAGTGGATATTAGCAAATGAAAACACTATTCCTAGAATATTATGGTCGGATGAGACAATATTTACTAGGAATGATGCTTTAATTTTCATAACATGTATCACTGGTCAGATGAAAATACAGAAGTTGTTCGCCGTACAAATTTCCAACATAGATTTTCTTTGAACTTATGGGCAGGAGTAATTGGGGATCAAGTAATTGGGCCTATTGTACTTCCCAATCGTCTTAATCCAGAGGTGT